CTCCCTCAATTTTTTTTTTTCCTACTACCATCCTGACAAAAGAAGTTATGGAAAACAGCTGCTGCAGTTTTCTTGTGAGAAAAGCAAATTTGCCTATAGGCTATGTCATTAATTCAACCTAAGCGTGATTGGAGGCAGGTTAGAACTTCGTAGTGGGAGCCATGATATTAAACATATGCTTCTTGGTGGGTCAAGGCCACCCAGAGGCTTCAAGAGACCCAAACAAAACCAACTTGGAAGTAACTCCAGCAAAAGGACATTACACAGTATACCAGTTGGACACATAATGCCAAATATCTGGCATTATTCCTGAGACCTTCTATACCAAGACTAATCTCAAGATGGTTTAAAAGTTTATATCCACCCTCTGCTGCCCAGGCCTGTCCATATGTTCCTTACAAAGCCTTCTTCATTTTGTTTTTGCTTGCACAGGGTTGTATTGGACATATTAAACTTTTTTTTCCCAGAAGTGTCAGGTGTTTTTCATCATTAAAACAGAAAATACTGCTGAAAATATTCTGTTCTGAAAACGATAGTTTTTAAATATATGGCAAGTGTTTTCATATATAATAATAACTAGCCCCTTTTTTTTATTATTTCAGAGATATTTCCTTACCAGATTCCTCAATGCCTTCAACAATGGCAGAAATTCTAATGTATTTGAAAAGTTCTTAAAAATTCAGGAAGATATTCAAAGTTGTATCTTCTACCTCAAAGAGTTGTATCTACAGTTGAACTGTATAGCATAGTCAAACATCAGGAGTTGACTACAGGAAATGTTTTGTGACATTTTGTATTATGTCCTCAAATGCTTTTAGGATACTTTTTATGTCATATAATGTTCTATATTATATTTCATAATATAATAATATATTATAAATATATTATATTTAAATTTATATTAAATTTCAGTTTTTTTGGGATATCATGAATCTCAGATTTTGGACATATTCTATAATTTCACCCATTTTGAGGTACCTTGAAATGTTTTGCCCTGTTATGTGCCATTTTGCTTAGTTATACTTTGCTTTACTTTACTTTATTGATTAGCCCTTGGGCCATATCAAAGTGCAGAGTTCCAGACACAAATTATTACTAAAATCTGATAAAAACAATTTGAAATTGAATTGGATAAAATATAATTTAAAATGAAATTGGAATAGAATACGATTTAAAATGAAATTGGAATAGAATACGATTTAAAATGAAATTGGAATAAAATACAGTTTAAAATTATAGCTTTGATTAGCCTATAGGCCATGTGCAATGATATGTGCAAACACATATCGCCAATAAAATCTTATACAAACAATTTAAAATAAGAGTAGGGTAAAATACAATAGTTATACTATAAGATACAATATAATTTAATACATAAATATATAAAATAGAATAAAATGACATAAAATTATATTTCAGTGTCACCCTTACAATCTACCCCAATCAGTCCCACATATGCAGATCTCAACCGAACCATTTTGTTTAAGTACTGTACTGTGTTAAATGTTATTTTCAGGTTCTGGCCGCACATAAAGTAAGTTATAGATTACAGACACAAGAATTTTAATAATACAATGGTATCTTGGTGCTCAACTGCTTTGAAACTTGTCAAATTTGGTACTCAACGCATTTTAATGCAAAAATTTTGTCCCAATACTCATCGTTTGTTTGTTTGTCTAGCTTGTACTCAATGCACAAGCTAGAACCTGTCAGTGTTGCCTTATGACTCGCTACCTTATTCCTTATGGCAAAAATTTGTTTGGTACTCATCATTTTTGGTACTCATTGTGCCTTCTGGAACCAATTAACAATGAGTACCAAGGTACCATTCTATGTAGATTTAGTTCAGTATCATTCACTGGATGATTTCCAGCTGTTTGGGATATTTCCAACTGAAGTTACACCTTCTTAGATATGTTTTGAAAAGCTTATGGATCACAAAACGAACTAAAATACACACAAATTTAGTATGAAAAATGTATGCAATGCAAAGAGATGAAGCACATCATATTCTCAGCCTTTAGTCTTTCTTTATAATGAGGATGAATAAAGAATATTATTTTTGTTTACTGTTTTTTTTAGGCAACTCTAAAAACATCATTTAAAAAATGATGTAAAGGCTCCAGAGATAAGAAACACCAGATTTCATTCTTCTGAGATTCTTTCGACAGACTTGAATAAATCAGATGCAACCTTTGCATTTTATCTCTTTGTTGCCTGAACCATCTGGTTTATCCCTATTCTGTCTTAAGTTCAGATCAATTAAAGAGTTATTTACACAGGTCTGAATCACAATTACACAGTATAACATGGGTGAGAGAGAATGCAGATAACCGGTAAATTAGAAAACCAACAATTCAGGCTCTGATTAGAAATGACGTTTAGCTTTCTTTCTTTTTTTTAAAAAAAAAATGAAAAACAGCTTCTTGAAGCAGAAAAATTGCAGGAAGAAAATAAAGTATCTGCTTAATTTTTCCTTCTTTGGGTTGTTCACACTCTCTCCCAGCTATATTGTACTTACATCCAACAGCTGCTATTCTGTGCTTTGTCATCTCTGCTGGAATATCTTCAGGGCTCACCAACTGTGGGGCCACAGAAAAGATATTTGGTGGCCCTGTGCTCTTGGGGAGGGAGACTTTCTTGTTCTTGGCAATAGTATAGAAGTAATTCATCATTGTCTTCTAAAATGTTTTTCAACTGGACAGGGAGCTATTTAACATTTTGGTTGATCGGAGGCCTGCAAAGCAGTAGAGCCATAGATTAGCCAAAATTTAGGACATACAAGGAGGTTCTTTAGTTTCCATTCCGATATATTCCTGTTTTATAGTTCCACTCAAGTTTTCTTCTGTTTTTTACCTCAAAATTGCAAGACTTTGCAGTCGGTTTTAATGATCATAGTTAAAAAAAGAATCATGAGGATATATATCATAATGATGTTTGAGGATGGCTCTCTTTACGCAACTCCTGTGAGTCCCATGGACTGCAAGGCGATCAAACCAGTCAGTCCTAGAGGCAGTGGTGGGTTGCCCCCGGTTCCCACTGGTTCTATAGAACCGGTAGTAAAACCGGCGGGAGGCTCCGCCCACCGACCCTGATGTCACCAAAACGCTTCTGCGCATGCGCAGAAGAGTGCGCACCCGAGCGAAGCAAATACGCGTGCACAGCCCCGCTGTGAACCGATAGTAAAGGTAAGTAGAACCCACCCCTGCCTAGAGGAGATCAACCCTGACTGCTCTTTAGAAGGCCAGATCCTGAAGATGAAACTGAAATACTTTGGCCACTTAATGAGAAGGAAGGAGTCACTGGAGAAGAGCCCTAATGCTGGGAACAATTGGGGGTAAAAGAAGAAGGGGACAGCAGAGAATGAGATGGCTGATCGAATCACTGAAGCAGTCAGCGTGAGCTTAAATGGTCTCCGGGGGATGGTAGAGGACAGGAAGGCCTGGAGGAAAGTTGTCCATGTGGTCGCGATGGGTCGGACACGACTTCGCAACTAACAACAACAACTCTTTAAGCACATATCTTGCAGGGCACAAATGCAAACATAATGTTGTGTTAGGGTCTTTATCTGCCAGAAGAAGTTTTACAAAATCTTTATCTGGTCATCCAGGGAATGACCAAAAAGGGGGTTAGAAGCTTACTATGGGTCTCTCGGCAAAGTTGCCACAGAGCAACAAGTTAGGCAGTAATTCAGTATTCTGACTAGCAGGGTCGAGTCCTTTGGGCACATGGTTTTTTTCCTGAAACCTGCATTCTATGACATTTGATGACAGGATGTCAAAGCGGAGCCCTGAAAAAGCCCTAAGGAATTCATTAACTGTAAGATGGTTAAAATACGAGATCACTTTGGAACAGATCTTGCCCTGACCCAATTGTATTCCAGTTTATACAACTGAGTTTTAAGGGTTCTTCATCTAAGAGCTGCTATATCCTGTTCTTCTCCCAGTGGCAGCAACGCCTCTGTGGCAAAACCCAGATTCTGAATTTTAACTTCAGTTTTACTCTAAGGTAAATTGAAATATTTTGAGCAGGATAAGAGTTGTCAAGCTTTGGGGTTATAATTTCAGATACATTGTCACTAACATTGATTGTGCAATCAGTAGATTCCCCAAATATATATATCTTTTACAGTATCAAGAGCACCATGGTAAAATCAATGGAATCTGTCATTTAATAGTTTCAGAAACTCCTAATTTTTAACACTTACATGACGAGAACATTTGAAAGAAGGCTTCATAACCAGCCCTTTTGCATATGGTATTTCTTATTATTTCATATTGGAGCACTAATAAAGACAACTTTCCAAGGAAAATGCAGAATGGAGGCCCGATACCAATTACATGACTATTTTCTGAACAAAATATAATAGAGTCATGAGGCCAGACTCTGAACTTAGTGAACTGACCGGTTTAACAGGCAGCGGGAGGAATAAAAAAATCAGAAACACATTTTTGGTGATGATGCAAGATGTAACAAGGTGCAAGATGTAGCTTGTAAATATCAAGGTTGATATGAGATAAAATGGTAACGTGCATATTTTAAATAACAGCAGACTACAGATGATCCACCTAGTTTGGTATTGGTAAATATTGCTTGTTATTTAATGAAACTGAATCTGCAAAGCTTGTAACTTAAATTTAGGATGACTTTGGGCCAGTCATTCTCTCTCAGCAAAACCTACTTCTTAGGGTGGTTGTGGGAAAAATAGGAGGAAAGTGTGGTGAATATGTTCTCACCTTGAGTTGTTTTGAAAGAATAATAAAAATGCAATATAAATAAATAAACGGTACTGGTATTGTATATTTGCCATCTTGAGTTATATATGAAAAAACGGGATGAAAAAAATCTTTTTTTAAATGTCATTCTGAATACAATTATTCAACTAAGTTTAGCTTTTGGCTGGTGTTTTTTTCCTCTGGGGTCTTACCCAGAAGTGCTGAGTAATAATTTTCTTGGCATCCAATTTTTAAGACTTTTAACGTATTTGTCTGTCATTACAGGATTCTTCTTCAACCGGATGACTCCTTGCAAATCCTAGAACCAGTTGAAGCCGACGTAGGCTTCTATACTTGCAATGCAACCAATGTGTTGGGCTCTGACTCTGTCTCCATTGCCATCACATTAGCAGGTAACTCCATGTTCTTGCAGTTTTAAGCACAAGTGAGATAACCTCCAAGTTTAAAAATCCTACCAATGTTGGAGTTTTTTAAACTTTATTTAACTTTAACTTTGTTTATTGATGTTTTCCCCAATTTTGATGTCTTGCTCTAAAAATTTCACAAGATATTAAATGCTAGCTTGATATATTTTACTCCTTCATTTTCTAGGATTATTTGTAGAGAGGGTCACAGCAGTTTAAATAGAATTAGTGAAGCGTATCATTTTGTAGAATTTATTTTGGGTTTGTCATGTGAGGGGTATATATGCCTGAATTTCAAGGATGGAAGAATGTGAATGGAACTTTTCCTTATGTTAAGATCAAGGAGTGTTGCCAAGAACTAGATTTGGCATTATTTCAAGATTCTAAAACATGCTCCTGTTTTAGTCGCCAAATGTCTATGGAGATTCTCAGTCATCCAGGTGATGGTTGTCCCAAAGGTGCCTTTTCAAGAGACAACTGGACCAAAGTCCAGTTGCCTCTTGAAAAAGCACCTTTGGGACACTTCTGTTTTAAAATTTCCAGAAGTAGTCTTGAAGTCAGGTGCCAGATCCAGGAAGTACTCTGATTTATACTTTACTATTTGTATATTAATCTCTCTCTCTTGGACCATTATGATTGGTCTTCAATTTGGTAGCTAGTGTCTCCTATCAGAACCCTCCACCTTTACAATTTCACTAGGTCCTGAGCCTCTTGCTTAGCTTCAGAGTCTCAGTGTCAGAGACCCTGACACTGAGACTCTGAATCTAAGCAAGAGGCTGGTGAAATGGGAATACTAACATGTTAATATAAAAGAAAACAAGAGGCTGGTGATATGGGAATATTAACATTTTGATATGCAAAAAGAGGGATTATAAATCGCTTAATTCTGGGGTGTCCTTAGTTTTCTTTTTAATATACACTGACTTTTATATTTTAATATTATTGCTGAGATGATTATTTAAGACAGTTATATTAAAACATGTGCCATGTTTTTCGTTCCATTTTCCCACTTCTATCACCTCTATATATTTCGGCAGAGAAAGCAATTGATTTTGATATTTTAGTTCAAATGGAAAGATTCAATCATTCAGTGGCTGCTGAAATATACTGATGTCTTGACCAAAATAATGATAACACGGTGATGGATTTACCTTTATTAAACTTTTAGGCCGAAAGTCTAAAAAAACCCTATATTTTGGTCTGATCTCTCTGCCATATTTTGCTTTTATGACTGTTTCTCTTTTTAGTAGAATGATAAGGATTTAATTTGTTAAATCCATCAGAGTGGGATGTTTTGACCCCTTAATTTTTTTTTATGCTTGGTGGTGGCTCCAATTTTTTCTATAAATCTTTCTCTCTTAGACTAAATTGTAAAAGAACCAGACATCTCATTAGTGCTGAAGCCAAACTAATAGTGATCTCCTGAGAGTTAGTGAGATTCCTCATATTCCTGAAGTTAAGCATTGCTCTAAATAATTGGTTGGATTGCATGTTATCTGCTCAGTCAACATCTTGTAAGGTCAAGCTCTTTCTTTCCCCGTCTTGCAGCCAAAGCATGGTTGGCACACTTCCCGTCACTGGCAAGCGAAAGCTCAGAACAGATTAAGTTTCTTGTTTACACCGACAGTTTAGTTCTATGACAAATTAAATCTTTGTTCACTTGGATCAGCATTAATGAAAACCTTTCTGGGAAGAGCAGTGACGTTGTGAGATTGTGCTTGCTTTAAACTCTTTAGGTGCTTGGGCCAGCAAGTAGCTTTTTAGTAACATGCAAAGTTACAGAACGAGAAAATGAAAAGAGACTGGCTAGATCATTCCAAAAGTTCATCCATTCCAGATTGTTTTGTCCAAAATGGAATTTGGTTCTGTAGTGGATCTCATGTTTTACACACAGGAGGTGTCAGGTTAGAATCTGGATCCCCTCTTGTTGAAAAGTGCTACCTAATAACCTGGAGAACTGCTAGCTGCTGCAAATCAGCATCAACGGTTTTTGGCTACGTATCAATATGTTTGCTCTGTATAATGTGGCCTTAATTATTTGGATGAACAGTTGCAATAAAGGGCCTCTAGAATTCCACAAGTAGTCAGTAGAAAAACAGCTCCCGGTACTACCCCTCGTATTTAAGCTAAGTGTGCATTTCCCCAGATATATGAGGTGCCTGTCTTCCTAATTCTTTTAACCTGAGAGAATGTAACTATCTTTTAGTAGGCTGTCTCTAAGAACATTGATATACATTTAGTTGAACTCATGAATCAATATGCTATGTACAAAAGTTCTGGGATAAACATAAACCATGGAAGTTATGAAGAGGACATGGAAGTATTAAGACAGCCAGTTTGGTGTCTTAATTAAGACATTAGGTTAGAAAACAGGAGACTCTGAGTTCTAGTCCAGCCTAGCCTTAGGCCCAAAGTCAGCTGATTGACTTGGGCCAATCACTCCCTGCCAGTCCTCAGAAGTGTTTCCTGGCACTTCCAAAAATGCCAGCAAGAATACTTCAGGAACTAATCCAGGCACGCGCATTCCAAGGCACATGTTTCATCTCAAGCTTTACAAATCATAGAGTTTTTTTAGGTTCTTATGCCCTTATTATGGGTATAAGTAGGATTGCCAAACAAATGGCAGTGTGATGATAGGCTTGCGTGGAAAGCAAAATAGCCTGTGATGCTACAGTTATGAGCCACAGAAGTTAGAAACAACTTTGAATACTGCTGCAGAAGTTTTATCATGCCCTCTGGAGTATTTAAAGGTTAGGGTATAGTTGTAGTATTTAAACCAGTATGTATGGAGTTACTTCAAAGTAGCTCCTAAAGTAAAAATGGGGTGGATGGGGGAACTGTCTGCCACAATGAATGTAAAAGGGGACTTACCTAGAAGTTTGCATGCAATCCTTCCTAAACCTTTTGTCTGGAGTGATCTTGGTGTCTAACTGATGGTTAACTGATACTTTTTTCTGACCCAGGATCCAGATTCTGATGCCTAGTTTAGGCGTAATGCTAAACTACTTTAGTATTGTGTATGCAAAGCTGCCACCTTACCACCATCCTCTTTTTCTGGCACAAAATCAAATTTATTCTATTTTGAACTCATCTCTGTTTGTCACAGCTTCCAAGGTAGAAGCAGAAACTTTATTTAAACTGTAGTCGATTTAAATCATTCACGATCAAAAATCATGGCTTGATACATGTTTCTCAGTTTGCTTTAGACACTAAGATCACTCCAGAGAAAAGTGTGGCTTTATCCAAATATGTTGATCAGGCCATCTGACATTTCTAGAAATGTCAACTCACCGAACATTAATTTCTCATCATTAAACTTCACTTTTACATTCATTGTGGCAGACAGTTCCTCCTCCCCCCCCAAAAAAACCCCATCAATACAGTTGTTTCTCCTTAAAAGCACAAATATGGTAAAACAACATCGATTTAACAGCAATACAACAGAAAGCATTGAAGTAATTAATCCATTCGGATCCAGATAAATGCTTGAATTCTAAAGTTTAGTGCTATGGCAATCCAGGCTATAAAGAGTCTTTGCAGTTCGTCTATTCCCGATGGGCACATTCCAAAGGCTTTAACTTTAGACTAGAGTTTTGGAAGGAAAGCCTTTTCCTTCAAACCACAGTTTTGATCCAAGCCAATTTATGGAGCCTAATCAATCACTGTCTAATACATGCATGCGTGTAGGTTCATAAGACACACAAGACACACACATTTAGATTGTTTGCAGGTTTTCAGTAACCAGCAACAGTTTTTTTTTCCTAACAAAATAGTCCGTGCCTTGATTTCATTTTCTCATGCAAACGAATTAGGAAATGCAAAATCTCCTGGGTCAAATTTTCTAGATGCAAAGCTGCTTTTGGGCAGCTTCTGAATAGCCGCATCTGTCAAACACGAGCCACAGGTATCCAGTTATTCAGCAGTTTCAAATCTGGATACCAAGTTGTACAAATGTGATAATGTGCAATTAAAACAACATTGCGGTGAAGGAGGGGAGGGCTGGACTTCTCAGAGAAAGTGGGCAATCTTGGTTCAGGCTGAATGAAACACTTGGCTTATTGATTAATTTAACACATGAGTTTGCAAAGGGCAAATGTTTCCATTTTTGGAATGACAAATTGCTTTTTATAGGCTAACAGCAGACAAGTATTTAATCTAATGAGAAGATCGTGGGGGAAAAAAAAACCCAGTGAATTAAAAGACCAGTTGCCAGTTGAGGTCTCTCTTTCTCTGTGATTTAGGAGCACCCAATAAAATATGAGAACTGTGTGAACTTTTCATGACTTACTAGAACATGTTTGTGGCTGGATATTTCTTTATATTGACATTTAAAAGACTCTGCATGCAAATGATATAAACAAAAGCTGCCATGCGTTCGTGGGTTTTTTCTACAGAATGGGGATTGAAATACGACCAGTTACACATAAAAGTTTATTTTAGCTGTTATGATGGCTTATGAATTTGTGTTAGTGACATATGTATTAGGGGAAGGGGAGGTGTAGAAACAAAATCAGATTTCCATATTTTTAGTTGATGCTGCCAATTAAAGCACCCATAATTCTTCCTCCTCCTCCTCTTCCTTCTCAATTTACACCCATTATTTCCTTGCCAATTCTTTCCCCTTCCTGCTATTGTAGATTTATAAGGGATTAATTTTTTTTAGACATTATAGGCTCCTGTCTTGGCCCAAGCTCAACCCCACCCATTTCTCCTTCTGATAGCCTATGAACAAGCTTACATCAGAGGCCCCACAAAATCAGCCAGCATTCAGAACTTAACCCACATTCAAATTTCATGAAGTGGATGACCAGAATGCAGATAGGTGAATCTGCACTAAGGTTTATATATTTCTAGGATTCTCTCTCACCCTGCCTCCCTCCCGACAACGTGAGATTGCTACGATTCATTAAACTTTGCAGGATTCTTATTTTTAGATCATCAATTTAAACCAGGAGTCTACTGCTTTAATTTCCAGGCGCCCCATATGGAAATTTCCAAAGATGAAAGTCAAGTACGGTACATAAGACCTTAAGGAAAAACATAAGGATAATTTAAATTAGCATTATAGAAGTAATCAAAGTGAGTATAGTATCTGCATACAATTAGATGTCAAGACTGTGATTTAATTAGGCAGATAATAGCTTTAGTTACATTCTGATTTATTGATGCAACTGGCTTTCATTTCTCTAGTTCTATAGCCAATTTGCTTGATCAAGGGAATTGTGCAAAATAAATCTTAATACATATCTGGGTAGGATTATAAAAGCAAGAGATATTTATCAAGTATCTGTTTATAAACTGACATGTTGCTTACAATCATGTACAAATTATCAATTGGTTTTTGAACCTGTCCCTCCCAAGATTATTTCACTTCCATTCGTCTTAGTAATTAGGTTTGTGTGCTGTTTTCATTGCTTAGCTCAGCAGAAATCATTTACTGGTATAAATCTGACAAATAAATAAGTTGTAATGAGGGGTCCTTGGTGCTCTCTGAGCTTCTTTGATTTGTTGCAGAGGTTTCATTGCCCAAACTAGGTAACATCATCAGTTGTTACTTAGTTAGGGTAATGAAACGTCTGCGAGAAAACAAGCAAGCTCAAAACAAGCAAGGACCCCTCATGTCAAGCCTGAGCTACAAATATTCTCCTTTATTTATAAGTTGTAACTATGCCTATGCTTTGTTTCTTTTCTTATTTGTTTTATAATTTGTGGTGTCTTTTCAGGGAAACCACTGATAAAGACCTCAAGAAACACCGTGACCAACCAAAACTTGCCGATGATTTCTGTTGATATCGGAAGCACAGTGAAAACAATTCCAGGAGTAAATGTGACCATTAGCTGCCAAATTGCAGGTCTGTTATAATTATATTAATGAGCAGGCTTAAAGTTCTGCATTTAGGTTTCATTACATCCTATTTGAAATATCTCACCAAAGCATTTTATTGGATTGCTAAGGATTGTTCTGCAGTGGAAGAGCCTAATTTAATGCAGATCTGAAATATAGCTCCAAGCATTGCCTGAGGCCTTAGAGTTAAATAGAACAACAGTGTCAGCGTTCCAGAAAACCCCCAACTCCAAGTAAAGATGCCAAAGCAAGCATTTTCCAAAGTTCTCTTTACTAGAATAGGCAAACTGGCACATCTGGGAAAACCCAAATCTGAAAAGCCCGGGTTTTCCCTCAGTAAGTCAAAAACCCCAAAACCATCCCCTTACTCCCCAGTCAATCACATGCTCTAATCAACGTCCGTTCCATCTCGACCCAGCCCCCTGACCACTCCTTTTCCAGATGCTGGATCGCCCTGACCTTGACTGACAGGAAGAATGCTATTATGTCTATTAACAACCCCTCTCCTTAATCCCCCCTCCTACTTTCCCACACATGAGAAGGTGGCAGCATTGAAGCTTCCGGCCTAATATGGCTTCCAAAACTGACAAACAGAGTTGTAGGGGATCTTGTAGGTCATCTAGTCCAGGGGTCAGCAATCTGCGGCTCTGGAGCCACCTGTGGCTATTTCACCCCTCTGCTGCGGCTCCCTGTCACCAGTCAGCTCCACAATTGATAGGGCTTTTGGTTAGGACCAGTAGAGGAAAAAGGATGCTGTGCTAGGAGGAGACTCTATGGTAGGGGAACTGGACTTCCAGTCAGCTCCAGAATTGAACAGGGGTCTTCCGGTTAGGACTTTTGTGGCTCTTTGAGTGTTTAAGGTTGCCAACCCCTGATCTAGTCCAACCCCTTGCTGAAGCAGGAAACCTTATACCATTTCTGACAGATGGCTGTCCAGTCTCTTCTTGAAAACTTCCAGTGATGAAGGACCCACAACTTCTGAAGGCAAAATGTTCCATTGGTTGATCGTTCTCACTGTCAAAAAATTTCTCCTTAGTTCTAGGTTAAATCTCTCCTTGATCAGTTTCCATCCATTAACTAGCTGTCGGGTGCTTTGGAAAATAGATTGTCTGCCTCCTCTCTGTGGCACCCATCAAATATTGGAACACTGCTATCATGTCACCCCGGGTGCTTCTCTTCTTTTCACTAGACTAGCCATGCCCAGTTCCTGTAACCGTTCTTCATATGTTTTAGTCTCCAGTCCCCTAATTTGTGGCATGTCAGTTTAGAGCATTCTGAGTGAGATGAAACAATGATTTAAATCAGTGTAAGGTAGTTTCATAAAGGATGCAGTGGCTCAGTGGTTGAGATGCTGAGCTTGTCGATCGAAAGGTCGGCAGCTCAGCAGTTCGAATCCCTAGTGCCGCATAACGGAGTGAGCTCCCGTGACTTGTCCCAACTTCTGCCAACCTAGCAGTTCGAAAGCATGTAAACAATGCAAGTAGAAAAATAGGGACCACCTTTGGTGGGTAGGTAACAGCATTCCATGCGCCTTTGGCGTTTAGTCATGCCGGCCACATGACCACAGAGATGTCTTTGGTCAGCACTGGCTCTTCAGCTTTGAAACAGAGATGAACACTGCCCCCTAGAATCAGGAACGGCTAACACATATGTGCAAGGGGAACCTTTACCTTTAAGGTAGTTTCATAAGTTTGGGGCATGACAAAGCAACCATAATTTCCATTAATTAACCATGAAGGCCTTAATCTTTCAATTAACCATAGGATGCTTTAGTTCTATTTTATCCAAAAATGAATCATGCATCTACCTGCTTTCCAACTGTGCTTTCAGGAGAAAATCTTTATACTGGACAACTGAAGATTGAAATGTAGCTTATCTGATAAGGCACCATAAGCTTCTATGTAATGAACTCTGTCTTAAGGTTAGAGATACTTGTTATGGCAACAACAAAATTTGAAATCTGTATTAGTGCAAGTAAGAATAACAAAGAACAGCAAACATACTAGAACATTAGGGAAGGGCCTATGAACCAAACTTTTATGAGTCAGCTTAGCCTTTTATGAACAATGCAATGTGTCCATTTTGAGTAATCCTACTACAGAGCTCATTTTGGGAGGAAAGCGATTCATAATTTAGAAAAAGTAATCAAAATAATAAAAAATGTGCCTCTCTGCCATATTTTAATATACAAAGTGATTTGTAACATATACAGTATTTTTTATTTATAGACTCAGGAAGGAATATGTTCAGGAATTGTGGCTTCCTGCTTTGAAAGATGTTGGAGGTTAATACCAGGCCTTGGCATTAGGCTTGGAAACAAGCAGGAGTCAATGAAATGAGAAACCATGTCCAGTTTGGATCAGAGTTGCTAACTTTACTGACATTTCTGGATTATCATAGAGTAAAGCCTTAAGTGTTTTTCCTTCAGCCATCTTGGAATTTATGGGGAAAAGGGAGGAAATTGTAAGCTAATATGAGAGAATGGATCATAAGGTATTATTCCATAATGAACCATTCTGGTTTTGGGACCTACAGAGGAGTGAGCTATAAGAGCAGAAAACAAAGAATTGAGTAGAACAAGGGATGGAAAATAATACTTCATACTTGATGGATGATACAGCCCACCAAAAGGGTAATCCTTAATGCAATGAATTAGTGAATCGTTCCTACATCACTTTTTGGTCTAGCAGTACTTACAATATCCTTCTTCCAGCTGGCAATATGATTTCTTTGTATTTATAGTATTTTCTCTTTTGGGTTCAGATGAAGGTTGCTATGTATTATTCCAGGATAAGGGCTATCAAGATTATCTCTCCCTAATATATTCTCCCTCATTTGTCCTTATCGCTGTCAATATTATGGATGACAAATGACACCAGATTTTTTTTTTAAATGTTTGTTGTTGTTAGTTGCGAAGTCGTGTCCGACCCATCGCGACCCCATGGACAACATTCCTCCAGGCCTTCTTGTCCTCTACCATCCTCTGGAGTCCATTTAAGCTCACGCCGACTGCTTCAGTGACTCCATCCAGCCACCTCGTTCTCTGTCGTCCCCTTCTTCTTTTGCCCTCGATCTTTCTCAGCATTAGGCTCTTCTCCAGTGAGTCCTTCCTTCTCATTAGGTGGCCAAAGTATTTTTTTTTAAATGTACTTTCATTCAAAACAACCTCTCATGTTGCCTACAATTAAAAATGTGGAGCAGCTACTATGTCTTCATTTCTGCCATGTCTTCAAAAGGCAGTTTTTAGCACGTTGGAGTAAAACTCAACCCAAGGATCTATGAAAACTTAACGACTATATTCTCTTTAATGCCTGACTCTTCCTTTTCCCATGCAATTGCTTCCTACAGATGGAACATATAAATTTGATTGATTTGTGTTTACCTTGAGGCAAGGGAATGGATAATACAGGTAATCATAGCGAAGGTTTGAAATCTGGATATATGCACTGTTCTGTATCAAATAGCGCTGTAGGTTAGAGCCGCAAGATTTTACCCAGAACTGTAGCCGAATAAAATCCCCTCCCTGTTGTTTGCAGAGCCTTGATGACAGTCAGTGTTATGGGATTTGGTTTCACACGGTAAATTTGGCTGTAAACAGTGAAATATGAACACAAAGTGATGAAGTTTGAAAATGAAATAGGTGATCTTAAGATTAAAAGTGCATTGCAGATATATGTGAGTGAGAGTAATGTTAGACTGTTGCAGTGGATAATTTATACTTTCCTGTCTCACTTCTGACTTTGCTGTAAGGCTGAAGATGAGTTATATTTCTAGTTGATTGTGCCTTGCCACTAAATTGCCAGATCAGTTATCACCAATTGTTACAATCTCAGGCTGCCTATGCCAAAAACTTTGTGTGCAGAATAGTTCCACTAAGAAGTAACAGTGTGTTTTTTCTTCAAATTGAGTCCCAGAGTTTGCAGAAATAAAATCAACAAGAAGAAGTGACTCTCTCTTCCACAAACTGAAAACAAGAATCCATACACACCTTTGTTTAGCATAATGGAAGGGAGACCACAGGAGAAGGGAATGAAATTATGGAAGAAGAATTTTTTAAAAAATGATGGAAGAAAAAGAGTAACTGATGGCGAGGTTAAGGAAAAGTAGACTGGCAGAAGATAAAGTGCAATCATTTATTGCAAGTTCCAACCCATGTAAGGTTGCTAAATGGGATTGGATGTCTCTCTCCATAGGCATCTCAGTAAGAGTGAAATTAGATGTCATCAGGAAGATCAGACTGGATCTCCCGAGTTATTTTTTTCTTTATTTAACAACCAGTGAAGGCAGAGGTTGAATTAGGGCCAAAGCATTGGAAGAGAGATAAATTAGATCTTCCCCTGCTATTTCCCTACTTAAAATTGCCCCTTAAAGCTTGGCCAACCACAGGACAAAAGAGAAAGGATATACAACAGGGGTGAAATGCTATCGCTTCGGCTGAACCGGTAATGATGGTGGCGGATGGTTCGGAGAACCGGTAGAGGTGGCAGCGCGAGGCTCCGCCCACCTGCCCAGTCGTTGTTACTTCCTGGTTTTAACCAGGAAATAACCTGTTCTTTACCCTCTGTGCATGCACAGAAGGGTTTGCACATGTGCAAAGAGTCCGCGCGCGCATGTGACGCACGGCGCATGCACTTCCAAACCGGTAGGGAAGGTAAGTAGATTTCACCCCTGATATACACCCAATAAGCTTAATTGTATGGATCGACTAATTCCAGTAATTACGATAGGAGCAATCCAGGCCTAGTAGCAAACTACAGGACAAGGGCGATTACAGGTAGTCCTCAATTTACAACAGCTTATTTAGTGACTGTTTGAAGTTACAATAGCACTGAAAAAAGATTTATGACCGTTTTTTACACTTACGACCATTGTTGCATCCCCATGGTCATGTGATCAAAAATTCAGATGCTTGGCATATGCTTGGTTCATATTTATGACTTGTTGCAGTGTCCAGAGGTTGTGTCATCTCCTGTTGCGACCTTCTAACAAGAGAAGTCAATGGGAAAGCCAGATTGAATTAACAACTATCTTAATCACTTAACAACTGCAGTGATTCATTTAACAACTGTGGCAAGAAAGGTCATAAAATGAGGCAAAATTCACTTAACATGTTCTGTTCTTGCTTAGAAACATAAGTTGTGGTCATAAGTCGAGGACTACCTGCACGCAATGTCCCTCTACATTCCAGCAAGAGGAGGATCAAGCCAGGCACTTTCAGGATAGTTGCACTTCTCTGATTACAAATTTGGAAAGAAGGATCAGAAAAGGCAGAGCTACCATGTGTTTTTTCCATGACAGAAGTGCCTCAGAAATACCAGCGGTACAACTACTATCTGCTGATGATTTGGGGAAGGCAAAATGCACAGTATTCAAGGAAACTCATTTGAATGTTTTCCCTTTCTTTGGGAAAGTTAAAAGTAACATTTGGAATCTTTATGCTTCTCCTTTAAATAAAGTATATAAAGTATAAATATAAACTTCCTTTTTTTTTCCTTGAAGAAGTTTCGCTTCTTATCCAAGAAGCAAAACCTCCTCAAAGAAAAAACAAGAAAGTCCAGTTATCTCCTGAAAAAGCACCTTTGGGACATGGAAGACGAAAGCAACATGTCTGGAACCTTCATATGTTGAAAACACTTTTTTCATTGTCTGCACTGTTAAACAAGCACAAAAATAGACTAGAACAATACGTTGCTTTGGTACCATACATCAATGCTCTTTGCACAAGGTTCACCATGGATATTCTTTGTGTTTCTCTCTGACTCTCTTTCATTGTGTTCCTACATCAGGTGTGCCTGAGGCAGAACTTACCTGGTTCAGGAACAAAATCAAGATGGCCCCTGACCTTCACATCCATGATGGAACACTGCTGATTCCAAACGTATCTATCTCAGACCAAGGGTTGTATTCTTGCAGGGCTGCCAACATCCGCGGGGAGGTAACGGAAAGCACTCATCTATTAGTCCTCGGTAAGTTAAAGTATGCAATCTTTTCAAGAATTAATATATTTTGTCATTTTTTTCTCCAACCAAAAAAACCTGTGATCAATGGAGTAGTAGTATAATTTAATTGGGGGAAATCAGGTATAGATTTTTTTTTAAATGAAAACTGCATTTTCCAGAGAGGGGAACTGATAAATAATTGGAGCACTAAGGCATCAGGAATTTATCTCTTTCAGACTAATATTTTTATCATGAGAAAGAAAGCCAATTTGGTTTAGGTATCAGGCTAGAAATAGGAAGACTGTGAGTTCCAGTCCTGCCTTAGGCACAAAGCCAGTTGGATGGACTTGGACCAGTCAGTCTCTCTCATCCTTAGGAAGGAGGGAATGGCAAACCATTTCTGGAAATCCTTGTGAAGGAAAGGGATGGGGAGGTTGGCAGGGACATGTCCCGGCAGCCTCTGAAAATTGAACATGATTGAATGGAAGAAGGAAAAAAATCATGAGAAGAATCAAGCTTCTGCAAAAAGTAATGATGCTAGGACCAACTTTCCAACTGATAATTAATGGGACTTTTTCACAAATGTCCGATCCCATAGCAAATACTTTCCTCAGAATTGGGCTTTGGAGAAATGATAGGGTTCCACATGCTTGAAATCTACTATTTATTGACACCCTCCCCCTCCATTGGAAAACTGACCCAATTTTCCTTTTAAATAATGTATATCATAATTGTATGCCTAGTGCTACCAAATCTGGTCTACCACAGTCTGTGTAAGACTACTAGATAGTACAGATAATCCTCAACTTACAACAGTTCATTTAGTGACCGTTCCAAGTTACAGCGGCACTGAAAAAAAGGGACTTAGGACCTTTTTTCATACCTGCAACCTTTGTAGCATCCCCATGATCATGTGATCAAAATTTAGATGCTTGGCAACTGACTCATACTTATGATGTTGCTGAGTCCCAAGGTCCCGTGTTCACCTTTTGTGACCATCTGACAAGCAAAGTCTGGGAAGGCCAGATTCATTTAACAACCATGTTACTAGCTTATCGACTGTGGTGATTCATTTAACAGATGTAGCAAGAAAGATGGTAAAATGGGGCAAAACTCACTTAACAACAGAAACTTGGGGGTCAATTGTCATAAGTCGAGGACTACCTGTAGTATAGTAACTGTTTTCAGTGCCTCTTCACCGTCTTCTAATTGGTCACCCAGTTTTTTCCAACCCAGATGTGGTAGCCCTTGGTGTCATTTGTCTCCTGAGGGAAGGATTAAATTTTTTGTCACTGACTCCAATTTCTCTGCTTTGGACTTTGTCTAAGGGAACAGCCTAGTAAAGCTAATCTTTGGAATATTGTTATAATTATTTCACATGGCTGAGAATGCTATCTGATATTTAAACAGTAGAGCTATGAAAGACAAGCATTCCAAAATATGTGCCTGCTAATGAATGTAATTCAATTGAATCAGTTGTATTTTTGAGTCCATTTAAGGCTTCATGATAAACCAAGATTTAAAACATTTAGGGGTGTGTCAGGGAGAGGGGCTCAAGGACCATTAATCTTTCTCACCTTCAGACCAGCCATTTCTCTCCGATTTGCTCTTACCTGGCAACTACGAGAATGAAAATTAACTTGTCATATGTAATGCTGCCAAAGAAAAAAATCTCTGTTGTTTTTTTTAAAAAAAAAAAACATCAGAGCCGCTGATTGCTGTGAATTACAAGAGGGCATCCATAACATATGTCCTTGCAATATAATTCTTTTACTCTTGTCCCCCACTTAACATGAAATACGTTGGAAGGCCAGACCTTTAAACCTGGCTGAAAATCTCATACACATCCCCAACTCCCACTGACATCCCTGAGACCTCATAGTGACACCCCTGCAGTGGGTTCAGGCAGGGTTTGGGGGAGGATCAATCAACTCTGGGAATTTTTCTTCAGCTTTTCCAAGTGGCTGAAGGTGGAAGAGATCCCTTCTCCATAACAAGCTTCCCTCCATGAAAAACACTCTCCTCCTGTTTTCTGTTGTTGGAGAAGCCGGACCTATAACAAATTGCAAAGTGACACCTACCAATTTCACACCTTGATGACAAATGCATAAACTCAGTCTGCCAGAGGTTGTTTTTTATACATATATATATATACAACCCCCAAAAAAGGGAGGGATTCGGGTCATCAGAGGGTGAAGTTTACTTTGTCTTATGTTTCTAAATAGGAAATAGTTTGAGCTTAGCTGGGTGATTTAGAAAGGCATTGTCAGGTCCAGAGCCTGAGTGGTAATGTATTCCTGGGGCTGATTTATGAGACTCAGTGATGGATTTCCTTGCCTAATAACATGCTTGTGCCACTTTTACTCCATACTGCTTGAGAAGAGAAAGACAGCAGGCTAGACTAAGCGAAAGCTACTGTAGATTTGTTGAGGAGGTGTGCCCCTTCTGGAAACCCTGTGCTGCACTCCCAAATCATACGTCAATAGCCTTGGCAGATCTTATTTTTCAGGGTATGACTTTGGCCGTTTTTTTGTTTTTTTTTTAATGTTGACACAAGTTTTCTTAGCTTGTAGGAATTCCTTTTCCATCTCTCTGGCATGCAGTTTTTTAAAAATTGGCTTCTTTTAAAATCCATTCATTTCACCAAGATTAAGTCTTTCTGAAGGGATTACTAAATAATATTAGGAATTAATCTCATCCACAGAGAGAAAGTGCCTTAATGTATCTTTGTCTCTCTGATATATTCCCAGATCCACCGCAGCTCCCTCTTCAATTTGAAGACATGGCAGCCACTCTGTCTCTCGTGGGGCCAGGCATTCCTTCGGTGATAACATCTCCTTCAGGAACAAGAAAAATATTGAGCCAAGGAAGCTCCGTGCTCATAGGTAAGTTCCACCCTTTTAAAAATCTACCTGTCCTAAATCTATTCCCCACATCCCCAGGAGGTTGGAAATAAATGGTTCGGCCGACTGCAGGGAGTCCTTGTGATCAGTCCCAACACAATTCATTTACATCAGCTTCGTTTTCAAATACGTAAAGCGCCTGGTGAGTTGTTGTTTTCTTTTTCGCTGAAGATTAAGTAGAAATCTACTCCCAAATGTACTGTAATGCTCTGAGATGATTGCAAGGAATTTTGCCCAGAGCACGTTGGCTTCTCTTTCTTTAGGTGAAAAATAATCTGTTTGGGGGTTCATGCTTACAAGCTTCTGGAGAGTTATTAAAAAAAATAGCCGCTGTAGATGAATTACCTATCAAATAAAGATGCTTGCAAGTAATAATAGCTACTTCTCTTGTGCCAAAAATATGAATATGAAAAATATGAGCCTTTTACTTAGCTAAAGTTGGTTCTGGTATCAGAACTTGGGCAAGAGATACAATTAGATGGCAGGAGAAGGTGTTTTTTAAAAAAATACTAAAAACTGATTTGCTGGCCTATGTTTTTATTCAGACGTATGGAACCAGAATAGAGCAGCGTTTTTTTTATTCAGAGATATCAAAGCAACAGAAGATACAGACCAGAGGTCACCAACCTTTCGGGGACCTCAGGGACCACTAAATTCATAATTTTAAATCCCACGGCCTACAAATATGAATTTTTTAAAAAGATAAATAGTATTTAGTGCAATATAAAAAATGCAAATAATTTTTCTCACAGACAATTAGTGGTCTGTGGCCCACTGGTTGGTGACCACTGATACTGACTCAAGGGAAAAAGAAGCCCTGGGGTACCTCCTTAACCGGCCTCACACTTTTTAAATGGTTAGCTGCTATTGAGTCAAATTTGGAGAAAGGTTCTTTGTGACGGAAACCATAATAGCAATTGAATCCTTATCATTAGAGGATAAACACCCACTATTAATTGATGAAATAGTCTGTTGTTGAATTGAGCTCTAAGTTTAATAAGCCTCTTCTTACAAGGCGTTAATTGCCTAACGCCTTGTAAGCTGCCCTGAGTCTCCGGAGAAGGGCGGCATATAAACCCAAAAAAAAAAAAAAAAACCCTTGTGTATTTTAATAATAGAGAGAGCCCAGTTTGGTGTAGTAGCTAAAGGCATCAGGGTTGGAAATGGAGAGGTTGTGAGTTCTTGTCCTGCCTTGGGCACAAAGCCAACTGGATAACTTTGAACTAGTTACTTCGTCATAGGAAGAACGGAGCGGCAAACCACTTTCAAAAATGTTGCCAAGGAAACTGCATGGATTTGTCCATGTCCAGAACTCAAGACTAACTTGAAGGCAAAAATAATAACACTTTAGTGATGCCCAGACAGTGACCCAGACTTTCAATACAATTTGCTTTAAATATATAGCTCTGATTCATAGGTGGTATATAATAAGAACAGTAGTGTTAGCCAGGAAAAATGTGCTTTTTATGACTAGAGAAATACAGTCAGCCATAAAAAGGAAATCCTGCTGTTCCATATTTATTGTTTTCTCCCTTAGTGACTTCCATATCAAGTTTGCTTATTTCTCAAATCAGACCAGGTTTTTTTTTTAATCCAAGCATAAGCTTTGAATCATAGAGAGCCGGTGTTTTTCTTTTTATCATATCTCATTCCCATGAACTATGGAATGAGAGTGTGACACAACTTTCTCCATTGATTCAGAAATTGGACAACAAAAATATGTCTTCTTATTATGCGAGCCATAGCATTATTTAATTATAACAGTTGAGTAATGATAGGAACACATTCCTTTTGCACTTTGTTGGGTAAATACATAAAAAATTATCCCAGGACTTGTTTGTTAATTTCCTCTTTCACTTCTGGACTAAATAGTCAGCCCTGCCCAGAAGAAAGAAAAGGAGAAGGTGAATGGAAGTACCAGTTTGCCTCCTGATATATTGCCCATCTCTTTGGAGAAGCCATATGACTATGTGGCCTCAGCTATAAAAAGTATAATTAAGAAGTTGTGAAATTCAGTGGGAGTTTGCTTCAAATAAATGTTCGTCATGACAAGTGCCCTGTGATGTTGGCTCCAGTGCAGTCTTTTCTTCATCATAATTTTGTGAGCTATTTTGTGGATATTGTTGACAATAAATAAATCGTTGATTTTACAAGCAATCATTTCATTCCTTCTCAGGTCTCTCTCCATATTTGCTTAGGTGGAATTCAGTGTTCTTTGTGCAGATATCCTGAAAGAATTTTCACCATCAGTTTCAGACTAAACTGCTTTTCTTTCCATAAAAGGACATAATCTCATAATCTCGGAGCTGAAAGAGGCTGGAAATAGATAAATATGCTGATTCATTGCTTCATCGTCAACCTTGATTCCCCAGATGTTTGTGTTATAACAAGGAATACATGGTTATCCAGAGTGTTAAGTTTTGACCTTTATTTCTGCCTTTTCAAAATCTTCTAGGCTGCCCAGTAGATGGTCATCCAACTCCTAACATCACTTGGTTTTACGATGGTCATCCCTTCCATCTGCCTCATCGGGTGTTGGCTTCTGGTCAGATTCTCCAGATCCTGAATGTCAGCAATTATTATCAGGGAGAAATCAGCTGCAGGGCTCAAAATGAGGCAGGCTTACTTATTCAAAAAACATCTCTGGTCATCCAAGGTAAAATATATTTCTAGAGCAGCCTTACCCAACCGGTAATTTTTCCATGTGTTAACTTCAGTTTCTCGTAGTTTCTTCGAACTATGACAACTGATACCGAATGGATCTTTTGAACTAGCAAATGGAATACACAGGTTGGGTATATTCTGGTTTTCTGAATTTTTATACATCCTTGCCATTGAATGTTATCAGAGCTTCCTATAAGCTATACAGAGGGAATCTAAGAGAATGCTGGTGCTTGTTTCATGCTCTGGGCCTGCTGTGGAAATGCAAATCTCATACAAAAGTGAACAGTTTCTGGACAGTAGTACTGTAGATGCTCTATTTTAGAATATTACATATTGTTTCACTATTAACTCCTGGTGATTTTTTTTTTCTGGACTCTTTCAGCATTGAAACAAACCCAATTGAGAAAACCTACGTAGGTTATGTCAGATTGCTTACCCTGAGAAGAAGAAAAAATACAGCCATTTAACAGTAGTAGAATGTAGTAGACTAGCAGGGGCATTATAATAAGGTTGTCATTCTAGGTTGCTGAGAATGGGGAGACTGAGGTTCTAACCCACCTTCTACCACAGAAGCTTCCCGGGTGTCTGAACATTCACCTCTTTCTCAGTCCAACCTGTCTTGCAAAGTTATTGGGTGGTATTCTTTATCGACCTTTGGGAGTGTTCTTTATGTCAAGTTTCGAGGTCGTCTCAAATAAATTGCATTTCAAACAAAGTCTTTGAAGAAAAACTCCTATTTATTAAGCACGACATTCTAACCCAACTCTAATCGAAGCCAACACTGACATCCAGCCCCAAAACCCTCACTTTCCGTTCTCCACTCCCCTGCACTCATTGGCCATCTTCCAAGTCATTCTACCCCTAATCTACTCCAGCTCAAAGGAATTTCCCCCCTCCCATCCCATCTCCTAGGGGATATTATCTCCAGGGAAAATAAGTAGGTGAAAAGTCAAACGTCCCTTTCCAGACACCTTCGCTTCTCCTTCTTATGTCAGCACTAGAGTAAATGCAGGTTGAAGTGCTGACACTTTAATTTTCTTAATGATCCAGTGTACTATATCTGACCAACAAAATTTTCTTTATTTATTTAACTTATATGCCACCCATCTCGACTAGAGGTGAATCTAGGCAGCTTACAATCCCAATAACAATAAGCTAAACGTTAAAATGATTAATATTAAAATTGACAAGATGGGAAGGAAGGGAGCAAGATGCACATGGGGAGGAGACCGGCTCTTATCTTAGTCCATTAATCACCTCCAGAATGGCACATCCCCATTGGGGCTCCAGGCCAAATGACAGATCCCCTTCCAGGTCCTTTTGGAAGACTAAATGTTATTTATTTATTTCTCTTTCTAAAGCCGGTTTGAACTCCTGGCACTTCCCTTTCCATGTAGGGCTCTAATCTGTGTTGGAGAATTCTAAGGGTTATTTTACTTATATATGAAATTATATTGTGTGATAATTTGCACAATCTTTTAAATCTCCTTTCTTTGCTATTGATACGTGGATTTACCTCTTTCAGTCTATTAGCCACTTGTTGCTCTCCATATTTGCTAGCGCAGTTTGGCTAAAGCTTTATTATGCACACAGATGCATACCCAGCACTGTGTATGGCTTCTTGAGCTCCTGCACATTCTTAGCATTCTTTCTATAGACTACGCTAGAGTTTTTAACGTAATTGAATTGTTGCAAAATTTCAGATTACTGGTGGTCAGTGGAGAAGATGTCGCCTTGTTCAGCCTCTTGTGGCAATAAGGGTCTACAATACCATCAGCTGAAATGTTTACTGGATGGAACCCAGGTCAACATGTCACATTGTGTGGAAAAACCCAAGCCAAATCTGCAACCTGTGGCGTGCAATAGGAGAGACTGCCCTTCAAGGTTTGGCCTTCCATTTGACATGTACAATGTGTGTCATGTACAATGTGTGACATGTACAATGGTTTCCACCTTTAAAGCGCTCCAAGGCTTAGGACTGGGATATCTACAAGACCTCCTTCTGCCAGCAACAACCTCCCACCGGCCAATATGCTCCCACAGAGAGGGACTCCTCAGGTGCCGTCGGCCAAACAATGCTGACTGGCGACACCCAAGGGGAGAGCCTTCTCTGTGGGGGCACCAGCCCTCTGGAATGAGTTGCCCCTAGAGCTCCGTTTTAGCCCTGACCTGCGTACTTTTCGCCGTGCACTTAAGACCCTCCTATTCCAGCAAGCCGGACTGGCCTAATACGATTTTTATTATGGGTGTATGTATGTTTTAACTTGCGGGCCAATTTTATATATTGATTTTAATTGGTTTTAAATTTTATAAATCTATGTATTTTAATATGGCTGTACACCGTCCTGAGTCCTTCGGGAGAAGGGCGGTATAGAAATCGAATAAACTCTTAAAACTCTTAAACTCAAAAACTTTGCAATGAAGCAATGATTACTAACCTTTATGGCAGTGGTTCTCAACTTTCCTAATGCTGCGACCTTTTAATACAGTTCCTCATGTTGTGGTGACCCCCAACAATAAAATTATTCCTAAAACCATTGAAAATATGTATTTTCCGATGGTCTTAGGCGACCCCTGTGAAAGGGTCATTCGACCCCCAAAGGGGTCCTGACCCACAGGTTGAGAACCGCTGCTTTATGGAATCATTACTTGCTTAGGCATTGTAACAAAAGTTGCTTTATCAGTTTAAACCGCCTGGCAGCCAGGGATTAAGAGTCCCTTTGCAAGATATCTCTGTCATCTTTTATGAAGGAATGTCTATCGACATGTTAAACTTGGCAGGGGTGAAGTACTATACATCTTGACGGACAAGTACGTAAAGTTGAGTCTATCAGAAAGAAATGTTTGAGCCCAATCTTCCGTGATGTATACCATGACTAGGATATAATTCTCATAATAAGGGTGGGGAAAGCTTTGTCCTTCTTGCATTTCCTTTATAAATGATGGAAATACGATGCTATCATGGCACAATCTGGACTAATGTTTTTCTTAAATGGTAAAGCTCCGTGATGGGGAACCTATGGCACATGTGCCCGAGGTGGCACGCAGAGCCATCTTTCTGGGCACACAAGCTGTCACCCAAATCACCTGCAGCTGCACATGCGCGTGCTCCCCAGCTGGTGTTTGGGCCTCTGGTGTGCATGTGTGTAATTCAGGGGACCCAGCTGGTCTTTGGAGCTCTCCTGCGCATGCACATGTGTTTGCACATGCGTGTGAGAGTACTTGTGTGCAGTGCACGCATGCATAGATGGCATTTGTGCATGTGAAAACTGTGCACATGCGCAGATGATGCTATTGCACATGGAGCGCACGGGGGAGCTGCGCGAAAGCTGCACGCATGCTCAGATGGTGTGATTGCACTGCAGTGTATGGGGGCACTAAAGCCATGCGCATGCACAGATGGTGGGGCTGTGTGCGCAGTGCATAGGGAGGAGCTGTACGTTAGCATGGAGAGCACATGCGTGCGTGAAGTATGCAAGGCGCGTACCGATTCGGCACTCAGTGAGTAAAAGGTTCGCCACCACTGGTATAGTACATTCGCCAGTATCCAATCACTACCATTATATTCCAACCACATTTTATTGTATGTCTTAACCATATGAGAATCGGAATGCCTGAAAAATTATTTTCAGATAAAATAAAGAAGAAAGTAGTCGTTCCTTGACAATTTTTTTAACTGCTGTGTTTTCTCATTACACACACACACATATAGGTGGTCCTCAACTTAAAACCATTTTTCACACGACTGTTGCAGCATCCTCATTGGTCACCTGATCAGAATTTGGTCACTTGGCAACTGGCCATGACGGTTACAGTGTTCCAGGGTCATGTGATGATCTTTTGCGGCCTTCAGACAAGCAAAGTCAATGGAGAAGCCAGATTCACTTAAGAACCGTGTTACTAATTTAACAACTACAGCAATTCACTTAACAACTGTGGCAAGAAAGGTTATAAAATGGGGCAAAACTCACTTAACAACTGTCTTGCTTAACAAAGGAAATTTTAGTCCCAGTTATGGTCATAAGTTGAGGACTATCTGCACTGCAGTACAGTATTACTTGTATATGCACAAGTAATATTCTGTTAAAGAGAACCAGTTTGGTATACTGGTAGTAATTAAAGTACAAGGCTAGAAACCAGGAGACTGTGAGTTCTAGTTCTGTCTTATGCTCAAAGACAGCTCGGTAACCTTGAGTCAATCACTCTCTCTCAACCCTACGAAGCTAGTAATGGCCAGGCACTTCTAAAATCTTGTTAAGAAAACTGCAGGGATTTGCCCAGCAAGCCACAAAGAGTCCAGGCTGACTTGAAGGCATATATAAAACACATGTGCAGAAACACACACCACAAATATGCCTGCATGCACACACTATTTATCATTCAGTTATCCAAAATGTACCTATCATTTCTCATTTGTGTGAGCGGTGTGAGTTTGCATCCATTTCTGCCATTTGTTACCCTCTTTGTTATTCATTGCAGGGAAATATTATTTTTTTCCAATTTTAGATGCCAACAGTAAGAAGTCAAATAGATAAAGGAGTGTTGTTGTCTCAGAAGATACAAAACTGGAAGTTTTGTAATACACCTACAGTTCTTTCCAAGTAATTTCGCTGAAAATTCTTCTCCCTTACGTCTCCCCGTTAGATGGATGGTGACCTCATGGTCTCAGTGTACCCAGAGCTGTGGTGGGGGTATCCAGTCCCGGAGGGTGACTTGTCAAAAACTGACTGCTGCTGGCATTTCCGTACCTGTGTCCAGCGATATTTGTGCTCAACTGGCCAAGCGTCCAGTAGATACTCAGAGTTGCAACAGACAGCTATGTGTGGAGTGGACAACTTCAGCCTGGGGACAGGTAAGTTAAATTTGGCCCACACTAATCATTGTGAAAGGGATGCGGTGGCTCAGTGGCTAAGATGCTGAGCTTGTCAATCGAAAGGTCGGCAGTTCAGCGGTTCAAATCCCTAGTGCCGCATAACAGGGTGAGCTCCCGTTACTTGTCCCAGCTTCTGCCAACCTAGCAGTTCGAAAACACGTAAAAAATGCAAGTAGAAAAATAGGGACTACCTTTGGTGGGAAGGAAACAGCGTTCCGTGCGCCTTTGGCGTTTAGTCATGCCGGCCACATGACCACGGAGAGGTCTTCGGACAGCGCTGGCTCTTCGGCTTTGAAACAGAAATGAGCACCGCCCCCTAGAGTTGGGAACGACTAGCATATATGCGTGAGTGGAACCTTTACCTTTACCTTAATCATTGTGATTCTGAGAAGGCAAAGATATTGATGTAATTAAAGGTCTAGTTGCATTGAATAGGAAAGAAATATTATTGGTCCCAAAGGTGCTTCTTTAGCTTCTTGGATGAGAAGTGAAACGTCTTCAAAGAAAAACCAGAAAGTCTGGTTGCCTCTTGAAAAACCATCTTTGAGACAACCATGACCTGGATGACTGAGAATCTCCACAGACAAATATTATTGGTCTTACAGGGAACATGAACAAGGATTGAACTCTAAAGCAAGCATGAAGGAAGAGTGAATAGGTCAAAAGGAAGAACAAGGCTGAGGTAGTTATGAATGGGTGAAAATGAGAGCGAAAGAATACAGGTTGGATCATAGACGAGTTGAAGAAATAGTTGCAAAGTATGCACTGGCTTCAAGCAGAACTAAATGTGTCATTTTTCAATTAGCAGAATCTCTGCCCTAAAACCTACATACCCATCAGTGGTGAAATCCATTTTTTTTTTACTACTGGTTCTGTGGGCATGGCTTGGTGGGCATGGCTTGGGCGTGGCAGGGGAAGGATGTTGCAAAATCTCCATTCCCACCCCACTCTGTGGCCAGCCAGAGATGGCATTTGCCGGTTCTCTGAACTACTCAAAATTTCCGCTGCTGGTTCTCCAGAACCTATCAGAACCTGCTGGATTTCACCCCTGATACCTATACATATAAACAAAAGATCTTCTGGAACAGGCATGCCACCTTTATTATTAAAGATATTTCCTGGGGATTCTTTTTTTTCTCATTTGGGAATTTTAGGTAAGGGTTTGTTTTTTTTTAAATAAAGGTCCCTCTGGAAGATGACTCTTAGTTTATATCGTGCCATGATGTGATATCCAAGCTCATTATCAAAAGCTGCATGAATTCATCGACTTCAGTTGACCTTTTGGCTTTCTAATGTAATATTTCTCCAGCCAGGAAAAAGAGGGGAGTATTTTTAAGCACTGTGGAAACATATACAACTCTATTTTGAGTCAGGTCCATAAATTGATTATTGCAATTACAATTAAGAACAGATTATGGTCTATATATAAATGGAATTTTGTTATTGTATCACAGAGTTCATCCCAAAGGATATCAGATTCCTATTGGCCAAGCTCAATTATTAACCTTTTCCAAAATGCAGAGGAAAGAAACGTATTCTTTTGACCCTTTGAAAATAAGCCTTTCCATTATTCCTGTCTCCTACAATCTAGTTTTGATATGTCTCTTGTAATGACCGCAGAGAGGGGATTTCATGCAAATATTTATCAAAGAAAAAGAACCTTTGCTCGTGTTTATAGTTGAACTTTTGACATCACGGTTTTGAAATCTAATAGATTTTTTTACTTGCACTCTGAAGTGAGAGAGTCAAATCTTTTTTTGTAATATGTTGGGAATGTCACTGGTTACATTAACATTAATAAGTCTAACCATGGTTTTCCTTCATGAAAACCAAAGAGGATAACAGCATAACTGGGTTTCTTTTCATTCTGTCCATCCAATTTGTTGGCCTTCTTCTTTCTTCTTCATGTTTCAAAAAATGTGTAGGCTATACCTTAAAGATACCAAGGGCGTTGTGTGCTTGGGGCTCAAGCGCAATCACAGGAATTGTGCCCAGTAGACACTCTCAACTGGCATGCAGTGCAAGACTTTCAGATGGACTGGGCTTGAAATCAATATTAGGAGTTAAGATTTCTGGTCTTCTGTGTTTGGGACTGCTGTACCTTTTGACTCTCTTGAGCTCTGAGTAGCTGTGGCTGGTTGAAGACGCCTCTGTGTAGAATGAGCTCAAAATACTTTGTGCCCAGAGGCAAAATGGCAAGAGGTTAATATCCATCCGTGGACTCTATGAGCAGAAGACAACCAAACTGGTGGTGAATCTTACTGGATTATTGCAATGGGCTTTATACGGCCTGCTCTTGAAGATCCCTTGGAAGCCTAGCCTCTTTCACAAATAATCATCATGTTTAGGCATGCCAACATTAAAATGTGGCTTTTCTCTCAGACCTTGGTAAAGGGACTGAGGTGCTAGAAGGTGATAATTCTCAGTTTTCTTCTACTATTTGTTTTATGACATGTTATTAAAATAGAGTAGAGTGAGTAGAATGGAATGGAATGGAATGGAATGGAATTATTTATTTATTTATTTATTTATTTATTTATTTATTTATTTATTTATTTATTTATTTATTTATTAGCTTGATTTATATACCGCCCTTCTCCGGAGACTCAGGGCGGTTTACAATGCTTTTAAGCAATAGCCTTCATACTTTTGTATATACCTGCTTAGTAGGGCTTTTGGCCCCCCCTAAGCGGTGTTCTATTTTATACAAAGTCAGCTTATTGCCCCCACAAACCGGGTCCTCATTTTACCTACCTCGGAAGGATGAAAGGCTGAGTCAACCTTGAACCTGGTGAGAATTGAACTCGCAGTAATTGCAGGCAGCTGGCAGCTAAATACTACTTTAACAGTAGTTTAGTCCACTGCACCACCAGGCTCCTTTATTGGCCAAGTGTGATTGGACACACAAGGAATTTGTCTCCGGTGCATAATCTCTCCATGTACATACAAGCAACAAGTGATAAATCATGATCATAGTCATCATAAAAATATATTCATCATATATCATAAGATACAACACTTAGTGTTAATGATAGGATACTAAATAAGCAGTCAACATAAATCATACTAGGATACTAAATAAAACAATGTACATCGTAAGATATAAGCAACAAAATTATAGTCATAAGATGAGATAGGTAATAGGAAGGATGAGAAGAATAATAGTAATATAGCCTTATTAGATAGTTTGACTGTTGTGGGAATTAGTTGTTTAGCAGAGTGATGGGGGGGGGATTGTCCTGTTGTTCTGGCGTGCAATGCCATATAGCATCATCTTGAGGGTAGAAGTTGAAACAGTTTATGTCCAGGATGTGAAGAGTCTGTAGATATTTTCGCAGCCCTCTTTCTGGCTCGTGCGGTATACAGGTCCTCAATGGAAGGCAGGCTGGTTGCAATTGTTTTTTTTTCTGCAGTTCTAATTATCCTCTGAAGTCTGTGTCTGTCTTGTTGGGTTGCAGAGCCAAACCAGACAGTTATACAGGTGCAGATGACAGATTCAATAATTCCTTTGTAGAACTGTATCAGCAGTTCTTTGGGCAGTCTGAAGTTTTCTGAGTAGGTTTTTGAGAGTAGTAACTCAATCAGTTTTCATTAGAGAAAATGACATGATGAGCTATGTTTGTGTTTTGATACCAATGTTGTGATATCAATGTTACAATCCTATGATCCCTGGATAAGCCAGGATCAGAGGTGGGTTTCAGCAGGTTCTGACCAGTTCTGGAGAACCGGTAGTGGAAATTTTGAATAGTTCGGAGAACTAATAAATACCACCTCTGACTGGCCCCGCCCCCATCTATTCTCTGTCTCCTGAGTCCCAGCTGATCGGGAGGAAATGGGGATTTTGCAGTAACTTTCCCCTGGAGTGGGGTGGGAGTGGAAATTTTACAGTATCCTTCCCCTGCCACGCCCACCAAACCATGCCCACCAAGCCATGCCACACCCACCAAGACATGCCACGCCCACCAAGCCACACCCACAGAACTGGTAGTAAAAAAATTTGAAATCCACCACTGGCCAGGATCATTAGATTTTTATTTTTTTTCCAGTTCTTTCAGTCTCACAGGTCATCACCCTATGAGACTGTAAACAGTGGACCATTGATTCCATCCTGATATCAGGGTCTCCAAATGTATTTAAACATTTTTTAAAAAATCAGATTTTTTTAAAAAAAGATAATGCTCCTTCTAACCTATCCTCCCAGCAGAATAAGGCTTGAAATGAGCCATATCTTTACCTGAAAATCTCACCACTCTATGCTACAGCCCAAATGCTGGTCACATTGTTTTGGCAAGTACCCAAATACCATCATATTATCTGGCATGCCCGGTAATTAATCTTTTTAGAGACCTGGAGAGAATCCCAGGAATCAAATCCAACAACAACTTAAAGACAGGATGGATGGATGGAGTTCTTGGAGAAGAACAAGATAATTGCAAATGAATTAAACTCAAATCATATTCTCTCCCAGTGATTTTGGTTTTGGTTTGGTGAGGTTTTGAGGCAGATCTGTATTCAAAACGAAACTTAAATGTATCCTTTCCTGTTGAAGGTGGTATTCCTTAGATATCTCTGGATATATTTTTACTAAGCAAAGTTTATTGATCCATTCCTTGTAACTCTCCAGAAACATTCCTTAGGGACTTTTGGTGGGACTTTTAAAGATTAAGGAAAGCTCTAAGCACTCATAAAATGTTACAGTGTAAAGAGGGGAAGAGGGATAAAATCTAAATCACAAACGAAGGTTTATTTCCACTATCATGTAAAAATAAAGTTTGTGTACATTTATTAACCACATTGGTTAAATTCCTAGCATTTAGCATTAATCGTATCTTCCTTTTCAATTATTCATAACATGCCTTCCCTAATTCTTTTAATACTGGTTGCCTATCAAGTGTGATAAATATTTGTTGTAAATTTTTTACAGCAGCAGACAAAATACAGTGACCCTTTCCAAAATAAAATAATTTACACTGCAAGTCAAGAAGGGGAACGAGAAAATGAGAATCAGAGATAGAATAGCATTTTGTTTATTCAGATATCGATGACATTATTTTTTTAAAAAAATACCAAATAATTATAAAAGGGGTTAACCAGATGAATCAGTGAGCAAGCTACACAGCACTGCTAGCTTTTCTCAGGGAGATTCATATGGCAACTATTCTGAAAGTTTCCTATTTGTGTCTTTTCAAAACATTAGAATTGTAGCTTCTACAATTAGTCCACCAACTCTTGTGGTTTATCACAAATTCAAAAGTTCTCTTACCACTACCGCAGGCAGCCGGTGAAGAGTTTCACATTTGTTTTAACCAATGTCTTGTTTTTTTGTTTGTTTGTTAACAGTGCAATGGGCCTTGTGTTGGCTCTCGTCTGGCACTCCAGCACAGGCAGGTTTTTTGCCAGTCCAGGGATGGGGTCTCTGTGCCTTCGGACCAGTGCAGTTCCCTCCCGAGGTAGGTCCCACTGACACCTTGAAAATACCAGAAACTCTGTGTTCTGGTTCTCACACAATAATAGATGATAATTGCTAATCACAATTAATGCTTTTGTCTCACTGTTTATATAAAAAGTCTGCAGTGCCCTCCTTGGTCAAATGATTTAGGAGGAAGTCATGCTTCTTCTTTGCGACAGGGATTTGTTTTTTGTTTTTGCATCATAACCATCAGCCTTTTCTGCAAAATGCATGCTTTTCTACCCTCTTCCTAATGTTTCAATCTGTTTGCATTTATCTGTGTACAGAGAGCAGACATATGGCTGAAGCACCAGAGGAAAGCCATTTTAATTCTGAGGCTTTACCTCATGGCTAGCAATATCAGAACATGTTATACAACTTCATAGGATTGTCTCTATACTCTATATTTTGTAAGCCGTTTTTGTTTGCGATTATTTTCAAAATCCAAACATCTCTGGAATTGATCCCAGCTCCTATGCGGATAACCTTGAATCTGTTTCCCTAAAGCAGGGGTGTCAAACTCAAGGCTCACGGGCCAGATCCAACCCACAGGGTACTTACATCTGGCCCATAGGGCCGCCCTGGAAACAGCAAATGATTGATCCACAGTGCCTCTGCCAATGAAAAGGGAGCTCAGGGGGGGCTGTGTGCAGCCCCCAAGCTTCATTTTCGGCCGCAACAGACTCCTGCAATCCTCTGCCAGCGAAAAGGGAAAATCGGCAGATGGCTGCAGGAGACCATCGCGACACAAGTGACATTGAGCTGTTCAAGCCCACCCTGGCCACACCCACCTGGCCCCCAAGATAAAACACAACCCTGATGTGGCCCTCAATGAAATCAAGTGACACCTCTGCTTTTTCTCCTCATTTTATGTATTTTTTTCCCTCAAAGGCCTTTAAGCACTCAGAACTGCTGGACAGATGCCTGTGGCGTACACTGGAGAGTCAGTCTGTGGACGTTGTGCACTGCTACGTGTGGGAATTATGGCTTCCAATCTAGAAGAGTAGAATGTGTACGTGTTCATACAAACCAGCCTGTGCAAGATCACTTATGCGCCTGGAGACCAAGACCAGCTAACTGGCAGAGGTGTAACATCACTCCATGCGAAAATAGTACGTTTTTACTATTTCACACCCTAGTCAATAGGCAATGCAGCAGCCTGAATATGCATATTCTTAGGAGCCATTCACACCCTCCCTACAAGTATAGGCGGTCCTCGCATAACAAGCAAAATTGGGACCAGCGACTCCATCACTTAATTATTTAGAACTAAACTTTTGGCAACACAGTCACATGATTGCCATTTGCAAACTTCAGAGCCAGCTTCCGAGAAGCCAAGTCAATGGGGAAGCCAGCAGGATACCGCAGGTTGTGGTCACGTGACACTGTGCTTAATGACCATGGGTGAACCACTAAAATAAGTAATTCAATTAAGTAATTCCATTCTGACTATTAAGTCTGAGCCTGGATAGCTCAGCAAACTAATGCATTGTAATTTTACTCCAGCTGTCTGCAATTTGTAAGTTCGAATCTTGCCAGGCTCAAGGTTGACTCAGCCTTCCATCCTTTCTAAGGTAGGTAAATTGAGGACCCAGTTTGTGGGGGCAATAAGCTGACTTTGTAAAAATATACAAAAGTATGAAGGCTATTGCTTAACGCATTGTAAGCCGCCCTGAGTCTCCGGAGAAGGGCGACATATAAATCAAATTTTTTTTTAAAAAAAAGTAAAATGTCACATGACTGTGCCCAACTTAACATAAATTCCATTGTGGTCATCAAGCACAATGTCACATGACCATAACTTGCAATGTTATCCTGCAGTGAGTTGGCCATGATGAGTTGGCCGTGGAGAAGTGGCCACAGAGAGCTGGCTGTGGCAAGTTGTCCCATTCCGTACATCTGCCTCTTCCACTTATCCCACTACCATCCTGCTGGAAAGAAAGAAGGAAGTGAAAGTTTTGGTCCTTGTGTGTTTCTGTGTACAAAAGTGATTCAAATCAAATCAAATCAAACCTTTATTGTCAATGCACAACATGTGTACAATGAGATTGAATGAGCCTTCCTTGGGGCAGCACCCCCCCCCCCCGTCATAGAATACATCTCAATAACTCAGAATAAACTCAAATAAAGGGAAGAAAACCCCTAAACCGAAATAAGTAATAACTAACACATATTCCAATATACATATATGTATATAACTTTATACTATATTACACCGGTATGAACATGTTGCACGTTGCACTGGCCCTGCAAGTCTAACATTTTAAACCTAATTATGATGTTATGCTGTGTTCAGAAGTCTGACAGCCCACGGATAAAAGCTCTTTTTCAGCCTATTCATTCAGCTGGCTATGCTTCTATATCTCCTGCCCGATGGTAAGAGAGTAAAGAAGTGCTGACCAGGGTGTGAATCGTCCCTGAGGTTTTCCTCACTGTGCTAAGGCAGTGTATCCTGGCGATTTCGTCCAGTGAGGTCCAGTGAGGAGGCAGCCCATGATTTTTTGTGCTGTGCTCATCACCCTCTGTAATGCCTTTCTGTCCACGGCTGTCAAGCCAGCATACCATACCGTCACACAATATGTGAGGTCACTTTCTATGGTAGGCCGGTAAAAGGAAGTCATCAGTCGTTGTTCCACCTGATTTTTCCTCAGGACTCTAAGGAAGTGGAGTCTCTGTTGAGCCTTCCTGACCACCTGGAGCGTGTTATTTTTCCAGGCGAGAGAAAATGCTTGGTATAAAGCAGATAGGGTTCAAGTAATTTTACTTATTTTTTTGTTACAAGTTCAATTCATACCTACTAATTTTGTTAGCTAATTAGCCTTGGCTCTTCAAACATTTATTAGGAAGGGGAGATTGCTAGGACTGGTTTCAGCTGGAACTGACAATCCCAGGTTGTCAGGGTGGGACACCTTGGCATTTTATTGGACTTTTTGTACATGTTTACATTTCTTTTCCTGTTCGCTTTTTCTTCTGGAGGTGGGAATGTCATAAGTTCAGGATCATCTTTCATCTGAGTAACTGCAGATGTTCTAAAGTTAGCCAGCCAGCAAGAGTCAAGATGAGATTTGTCATCCCCCTCCCCACTTTTTTTTTTTTTTACTATTCTCATCCCCTTTTTCCTAGTTGAGTGCAGAGATACCACCAGGTATTGTGAGAAGGTGAAGCAGTTAAAGCTCTGCCAACTGGCACAGTTCAAGTCACGCTGCTGTGGGACGTGTGGAAAAGCATGAAGGCAGCAGCAAAAGAAAGAAAGAAAGACAGAGAAAGTGAATTTAGCAACCGATGGCCTTGCTCTACTCTGCTCCTGAGAAGAGCTGCTTGAGAGAAGGAAAATGGGAAAAGCAGTTGCCTCGTCTGCCACTTATTTATTTATTTTTCCTTTCTCTCCTCCTCTCTCTCTTTTTTTTTTTCTTGTTAAGAAATCTCTTTTAACAGAGTCATTTGTTCTTTCTAAAAAAAAATGACCTTGACAAGGTTTCTCTCCTAATGATGGGAAACACATGCAGCGTGTCACAGTTCATGATGAGGGTGGAGGCCAAAAGAGGGAGAGAGAGAGAGAGAGAGAGAGAGAAAGCATGTTGGAAATGGAACCGTCCAGAAGACATCACTGGGGGCCCTTGACGGACTGAAGAAATGACGTGGAAGCAACCGGAGACCAGACGCCCAACTGGATTACTATTACCTGAATCAAAATGGGGCTTGACAGATACAGAAAGCAGAGATTAAAATGGACGATTGCCACCTTGCAAAAGTTGGGACTGACTCTGGCACACTTACAGTATATCCTCTTCCCAAATAGGGATTTGCTATGGTGAGCTCACTATCGCCACCCGGGAAGCTGGTAGCGTGAAGCGTTATACTTGTGACTTCTTGGCATTTTGCCACCGAGGCTTCCCAGAAGAACAGCTGGCCTTTGGGGGCTAGAAATTGGCCCTGGTGATGGGGATTACCCATGCCAACACATCCAGAGGTCACGAAGTTGGGGAAAAATCTAATTAGAAATAAGAAGAAGTAAGTAAAGTCCTCGCTGTCTAACTCAGTACTTCCCAAAAGGTTTTGTTTGTACATTTGAGGAAGTGATGGCTTGTCTGTATCCATAATGAGTTTATCATAGCTGTATGTCTTTTTTTTTATGCTACAATTTGGGATTTTCTGCTTTTGTGATCCTCAGGTGATACAGTTTGACCCTCAGAATGCTACAGTAGATTAAATTGAATTTTCTAATAATGTGGCTGAAATGCAGGGGGAGCAATGCCATTCAGATTAGAAAGAAAGGTGCACCAAAGATTAATTCTCACAGTTCATTTTGGTTCCTCACGGTCCAATTACCAATCTCTTCTTCGCTTATTGAAAGCTTGGAGTCCTTTTTTAATTTATTTCATTTTTTTAAAAAAAAACACGCCTAACTAAATATATTGTATGCAGGTTCATCCTGATTACTCTTGCTAAATATTGAATCTGATGAAAGCGGAGGGAAATACTCAGGAGGTTTCCATTGCATGTTTCTATTGGCTTTTGTTAGCAGAAATGAAGTTGGAAACTAATAAAAAAAAAAACTAAAAGAATATGAAGAAATTGGGATGGAAGATTATATAATCCATATGGTTCAGAGTGTAAAAAAAAAACCCCACAAATACTTTGCAATAATAAAAGAGAAAGTATGAGGCAAACCCTAAGAGGAATAAGTGAACTCAATTGTCCAAAAATATTTTTCGAAAGAAGGGGTGAAACGGAAGGACAACATAATCCATATAACTGTATACTGTATAGATTTTCTACATTGAAATTAGAGGTTCCATGAGATTAGATCAGGTTTAAAATGGATTGCTGGTGAAGAGTAATCCTATTAATCCTCACGACTGTGACGCCCACTATATGGAACAAATGCAGAGGTAAATTGTCAACATCCTCTCAGACCTGATGAAATATATTAACCGAACTGTTTTCTCACTTGATGCGGATGACTCAGAGAAAGACAATCAATATAGGTGCTTCCCATTTCATGATCCTTTTTTTATTTAAAGGGGGGGGGTTCTTTTTTATTAAGCAGGATGAAATTCACAAACTGTGCTGAACTGCTTGGAGCTAAAACACGGCAGCTCTGAAATACACTTCCTTGGAAGAATAGAAGCTCTGATTGACAGGCTGTTGCAGCAATCTTATAATGCCCCTTCATTCAGCCTCCTTCACTTAGGAATAACTCCATGGAGTTATTGCTTTCTGGATATTGTCAAATGGAGCCGAGTGCCTTTAAGAAATGGCTCACACAGGCTCCAGATCTCTGCTGTTCATTAAAGCAGTTCATCTTTTTTTTTTTTTCCCAAAAACCCCAAGGGCCCTAAAAAAAAAAAAAAACTTAAAATAAAAAACCCTACTGTGGCTACCTTTAGAATTGCAAGTCAATTCCTTAATGTGACGGAATTCTCAAAATGACTGCCTGTTTTAATGAAGAGTAAGAGGCCATTTTGGAACAAACACGGCCCTGTGGTGAAACATGGGTTGCTCCATGACACAACTCAAAAAGGTCACATACTATATTTCCTGCCTGCTATTAAAGGATAAGGAAAGGCAGTCTCTATGGCAGCCATGAGGTCTACAGTGTCCTTCACACATTTTAGAGCCCGGGCCAAAAGCAGAGCAAATGAATGAGCTGCTTCCCACCGACCCTGACACAGTAATGATAAAAGAAGCATGTGGTTGGTTTGTCTTGCTTTGGGACGGCTGACTCTGACACAACATTTGGCAGGTGTGATGGTTTTTACCCAGCACTGATTTCCTCCAAGGTATAGTGACTGTATGTCTCTAATAACTATCCAAAGCTGGGCTTTAGCACGATGAAAGATTGAGCATCTGAAAATCAATTGGTATTATGTATTTGTGGAGAAGGAAGAGCCTTCAAACAAAATCATGATTTGTGGTGCACATTTTTGTACCCCTAACGAGTGTTGCGGTGGCCTAGAGGTGGAGCTCTCACCTCACAATCAGGAGCTTGTGAGTTCGATCCTAAATAGAGGCATGATATTTCTCTCTGGGCACGACGAGAATTTATCTGCTGAATAATAAAATTCCGCTTTGGTGACAGGAAGGGCATCCGGCCAGTAAACATTCTGCTCCATTCAGATGCCCTGACTCCACCCCGCAAGGGATTATGGGGTCATTAAAAGGAGATAATGATTTTTGTACCCCAAACAACTTCAGAGAGGGTAGGTGGACTCTTCAGTTCTGAGGGTTCGGTTGAAGCACTATAAAAGGCCAGACCTGCAGCTTGGGTGTGTTTGCACAGGATTCTTGGCTTGTATTTAACCGTAAAATGTGCGCTGAAGGTAGCATTGATAGGTTACAGCTTTTTATTACCTGTATATTTTAAAACATGTCTGGAAGTTCTCTGATGAGGTCAATGTCAGGTCCGCCAGATTTAAATTGCCTTCTGTTTTGGGCTTTCCAAAATGTATCTGGCAGAGAATTTGCTCTCTTTTCAGATGGGTCTCTGAGTTACCGTGTTGCTATGAATCAATGCAACATTTATTTTTAAAAAAAGAGAGAGAGAAAGAGAGAATGTCTTTCTATGTTATGTAAATGTATCATGTGTGTGTATTTATTAGAATTTCATGTATAAAAAGTGCAATATGAATAATTGTACATTATTTTTGTCCAGATGAAACTATTGGGGGAGGTGGGCGGGGGCAGGAGGGGAGAAGAGATTCTTCTGTAATACATCTGCAATGTTTTTGTAATACCGGTGACAATGTATTGCCTGTCCTTATTTTTGTATTTAACTTTGACCACATTCATTTCATACAGAGAAAACCACTGGGGGGGGGAATGGGGGGGCAGCATGGAGAGGAAGGTTATATTCTGCAAACAGAAGGACCCTTTTCCTTAGCAGTAATGTGGTGGCTGTTTTTTTCTCAATAGAAAAATAAATAGATTTTCATTAGAACGTCAGGCATCAGTAGCTAAACACTTTTGGATGGTGGCCTTTTGGAAATTCTCTGTGAAATAAATCCAGGGGACAGCATTCAAATGGGTGCAGTGTTTTGGGGGTGCCCTAATATCAGTGGTGAAATGCTACCGGTTCACATCGGTTTGGGTGAACCAGTAGTGATAAAAACTACCGGTTCAGATGAACTGATAGTAAAAAAAAGCTACCGGTATTTCCGACAATCAGCTATGCCGCGCAATTTAACATCGCCAGAAAGCTTTCTAGTGAACCTAAATAGCGCAGGACAGCTGTTCCCCGCCCCTCACTGTTCTACTTACCTTCCCAAGCTTCCTTTTTTCTGCACAAAATACGTGTTTGGTGCTACACGTGCATTTGGTGTGCAGTGCACATGCGTGTGCAGCAGGCATTTGATGTGCACCGTGCATGGGCATGCATGCAGCGCATGTTTGGCTCACATTGTGCATGCGCACATGCAGCTCGCATTTGGCATGCACCGTGCATGCGCGGCCAGCGAACCGGTGGCAAACCGGTTCAGATTTCACCACTGCCTAATATAAATGTAAACGAGGCCCCCGAAGAAAATGGCTTCCCTGTTTATTTCAGAGCACAAACTCAAGGTATGGATCTTTGTGTTGTTGGTGCCACTTAATGGTCTTGCAACCCAGAGGACTGAATTGAAGCAAAGGCGGATAATCCAGTTCTGACTTCAGTCGAGCTGTATCCAACTCTGGGTTTCTTTCCCCTGCCCCCCACCCACCCCCTGGAGCTGGCTAGCTGCAAACCCCAGCAAGGATCCTCTGAGGCGAACCCCTCCAACAACGGGCATGTCTACAACTGTGCTAAGGCTTGCAGCCTACGAATGTAATTACAAATGTTTCATGAATTGTGACTTGGCAGCATCCATGTAAATATCTTGTTAAGGTTGACAAATACTACAGGAGGCAGCTCCCCTCCCCCCCTGTTTTTTTTAAAACTTGTTTATATAATTTTTTTGTACAAATAATGCATCTTATTTATTTACTTTCTTGTCAGACTGGTTCTTTATCATTTCCTCTGGAGTCTTGGGAATTACAAATATTCAGAATTCCTTTTCTGTCTTCTGTCTGAAGAAAAATCTCTGAGGACGTGGAGAGAACATTCCAGAATCCATAGCCATCCCCATCCTAAAGCCAGAAACAGTAAAAAAAAAAAAAAATCTTAACACTGGAATTATCTTCCATCTCTCCCCCAATTTTTGCCAATGTCCTTTCCTGAGTTCGGGAATTTTCGATTTTGGAAAGCAATTAAAAGGGGTTCCAGGAAGATCTTTGTTTCAAAAGGGCCTTAAGCCTTTCCATCTCTCCATTGTTATTGTTGTTTATGGCCTTATCAAGCTGAAGAAACTCCACTGCCAACCAATTGCTGAAAAACAAAACAACAGAGATCTAGAAGGGCTATAATCTATGGTTACTGTTAGTACTTAAAAGTTAGTACTTTTAAATTTAAAAAAAAAGATAAAAGTTTAACAGACTTGCATTTTCCACTCATGCTTTCAACACAAGGAGATAGCTGTTTTAAATGCCACGTGGTATAAGCAAGAAAGTATTCAGCCTCACAAATTACAATGTCTCTACACATTAGATTCCAAGAACCCACAATTTCTACAACTGGTGCTGCTTCTCCAGAGAGCCGGGGTGGCGCAATGGTTAGAGTGCAGTACTGCAGGCTACTTCTGCTGATCACCGGCTGCCAGCAGTTTGGCAGATCGAATCTCACCAGGCTCAAGGTTGACTCAGCCTTCCATCCTTCTGAGGTGGGTAAAATGAGGACCCAGATTGTTGGGGGCAATAGGCTGGCTCTGTAAACTGCTTAGAGAGGGCTGTAAAGCACTGTGAAGCGGTATATAAGTCTAAGTACTATTGCTAAGTGCTATTCTCATTTGATTGTAGCAAAACATTTCAGGATGTAGGAAAGTGTAGCTGAGTTTCAATGAACAAATCAGCGTGATACAAAAATAAAGCGTACAAAACCCTTCTAATCTGATTTAATAGGGTACCCGTGTCCTTATTGTATGTAATCTCTGAATATTTGCTTTTAAAGGCCAGGCATGTCCTATAAATCAGCAAAATTGTATTTGACACTTCCTGATCTTTAGAAATATCAAAGACTTTGATTGTCAAGGACATTTAGGGATTAATATAGCTAGCTATTTGTAGACCACAGGCAAAATATAAGCATATAAGTCTAAGGCCTTGGAATCTCTGAATATCAGAATGAATTCAGATAACTCAGATACTTTGTTAGGATTTAGGAGTTGTGCGCTGACCCATCTGCTTGTGATTAGAAAACACCAAATGTGTTTTGTTCACACTGTAGCAGAAAGTTGGCTCACTGGATACGTCCAACCCTTAATTCCCAGGTCATTAGGAGCTTCCTTCTAGTTCCTACTCTGGTTGAACTGGATTTAAAAGAGGTGGGGCAACTGCCATATAAAGTTTATGGCAGACTATTCTTAAAGAATTACTGCTTTGGAAATGAATGGTATGATTTTGTACTGGAAGGTTCATACCTGGTTGTATTTTAATTTTAAAAGAAAAACAGGCAACATATATAAGCTAGAACATTTCCTGAAACTGGCTAAATACTTCCCACACTCTAAAGAGCCAATAAAAGTAAAGACTCCCTTGGTGTAGTTTTCTTGGCCGGAATTAGGAAGTGGTTTGCCTCTGATTTCCTACGGAATGTTTTTCCAAGTCTAGTCTACAGACCTGAGAATGATGGTCTCCCATCCAAGTATTAGCCAGATCTAGCCCTGCTTAGCTTTTATAAGGCAAAGGGAGAGCAACTAAAATCAGTTACACAGTGTTATGGTCTCTGCAGTCCACACTTCCATTATCTCTTACACAAAACACTCTGGACTTGCCCTGGGTGCAATAAATACCAGATGTTTAATCGAGAGACATACTAGAATTTGGAGAATTTCCCAGCCAGAGTAAGTTCATCATTTGCATCTAGCCTCAGATTCAGAAACAAACTATATTATACTTAGATGTTGCATGGAACAAAACCATAATCATACCTGGTCTTCTGAAAAGTACCTTCCAGATCTTCTATGAGACTAGAGTTAATGGAAGATGGTTGCCTAATTTGGCTGGTCATGAAATTCCTTGATGCAATAATTTTGCCAAATGCTTTTCATCTCAAGAATGATTTCATAAACAGTTACTTACAACAGGCATTCACGAAACAGGATAAGAAACTCTCCACATTATAAACATGGATCTGTTATAGCTTTTATATAAAAGATGCGATCAGAACAGATTTGCCTGATCGGTGGGGTTACAAAATGAATCTTGCAAGTTGTGCATACCTCTGTAACATAATTGAGCAGAGATCTGATCTACGGGTTTCCTACAAGTAGCCCAACAATCTGTCGACCTGAACATGCTGGTGAAATGTAATGAAGTAATGATGAATCATGACTGTCCTATTTTACCAGCAAACTCTGCTTTCTATAGGCCCTGGTTCAAAATTCTCTCAGTTTAAAAATAGCTACAGAATTCATGTTCTAACTCAATTGATGAAGGAATGCAATCCACAGCATACCTAGACCTTTGGCAAGCCTTCAACATGTTCTTCTTAATAAAATGATAAAATAATGACCTATATGATGCTTCTGTTAGATGGGCTCACAAGTCACTCCGTGACTGCACCCAAAGTCTACTAGTTAATGGCTTTATCCAACTGAAAGGAATGGTATTTAATAACTGAAATGCTAAATTCTGCATTTAGCAAGAAAACAAAAATAAGCACAAATAGAGGATGAAAGATTTCTGCCTTGGTAAGAGTTCATGAGAAGAGATTCTAGGACTTGACTACAGATGAAAATCATGAGCCAGCAGTGGGGATGCAGCTGCTGAAACAGTAAATGGGAGCTTGGGCTACATTGACAGAAATATTGAATTCAAGCCACAAGAGGTAATGGTTCCCTTGTACTCTGCCCTTGTCCGATCCCATTCAGAATTATGTGTCCAGTTCTAGGCACAATTGAAAAAAGACATCAAAAAACCTGCATCAACTTCAGAGTCAGACTGTCAAGATGTTTAGGGATCTGAAAACCGAGGTGTGTTGAAGAATCTGGCTATGTATGGCCTACAGGAGAGATTGCCGAGGGTCGAGATAATAGCATATTTCAAATGTCTGAAGGATTGCCATGTCAATTTTAAATTTATTCTCTGTTGCCTCAGAGGGCAGGACCAGAGCAATGGGTTGAAATTATAAGGAAGGGGATTCAGGCTAGATCTGAGGAAGAGCCTCCTGGAAGTATGTCCTGTAGGATCAGCAAATAGAATTGGCTGCCACACGAATTGGGGGCAGATGGAGCTTTCTTTCACTGGAGGTCTTCAAGTAGTGTCTGGATGGTCATTTGTCATGGATCTAATGGGTCCCACAATGAATAGGGAGTAGGACTAATTGATCTCCAAGGCTTTTTCCAACTTGGGATTCAAGGTAAGAATGTGTCTAATCATAGTAAATGGCCTAGAAAATAAACTTAAATATATTGTGCACATTTTCTTAATTTCAAAGGAAAAGGCCTGAAGTTTAGCATAGCAACCATAGCTGTCCAACCACATCAGTCCAATCACATTTGGTGTAACTAACTTGAGCCATTGGTTTCCAGATGCCTTGCTTATTTATTAATTTAATTTGTATGCTGCCTGACTCCCATTGTCTCTATAACTATTAGAACAAGGCAGCCGATCCAATCATTTCCTTGTTCTGCATATTCATAGTTTCATTTTCATAGTTTTCCTGTTTTGCCCATTTGCTATCTGATATCATGCTTGGCTTCCAAATCCTCAAGACCAAAAACACTGGTTGCTTTCCATGTTAATTCAAATTATTTCCAACTAGAAATGTGATGCCAAAACCATTTACTGCCCCTCACTGAGGAAACTTTAATTCCCTCACCTCAAAGGAGATGCTGTTAATCTTGGATTAGCCCCCAACCAGGGCATGAATAAACAAAGTTTATTCATTCATTGAAGCAAAACCATGTTCTGCCAGCGGCTTTCTCTCTTTTGCAATATTAAAACAAAACAAAACATCAGATCTATTGACTAGCCAATGAGAGCGAGATTCTCTGGACTTTCTCTTGCCTATTATCAGAAGTGTCCTCAGAGGCTAGTCCAAAAAATCTCAAGAAGGAGGCAGCAATGGTAGAGTCAAAGCTCTGCCTATTTTTTATGAGTATAAAAGAGATGATGCTTTGATCAGACCAGGATGGCCCACATCTTGGCTTTCTGACATCTCTGTGTCAACTCTGAAGCAAACCTGGATGAAGCCATCTTGTGCTGCCTTAAAGTTGCCACAAAGCCTGAGAAAGAAGGGGAGTGGGGAAGTAGCTAGCCCAACTTACAGTCAAAATAAAAAGTTTTCCTGTGGGAACCAAGGTCATTGTAACAAGTGGCTGATGAAGGAGGAGAGGAGCATGCCAGCTGTATTCATTGGGCCATGTCAGTGGTCCCCAACCTTTTTAACGCCGCGGCCCGCTGAGCGCGCGCAGGGGTGGGGCCACGGCCCAGGAGCTTTTGCGCACGGCCCAGTGCGCAAAAGCGGCCGGGGGACATGAACGCTGCAGCGCAAAGGCTCCTGGGCCGTGCGCTGCAGCGTTCATGTCCCCCGGCCGCTGCGCGGCCCGGTGCCAGGTACTCCACGGCCCGGCACCGGTCCGCGGACCGGGGGTTGGGGACCACTGGGCCATCTGACTGATGAGCCTGGGGAGGGGGAAAGTTGCATTCTTTTAATTAGGTGAAAACCGTGGGAACTTTCAGAGTTGGTTTTCACTGGCTGTGGCCGATATGATGTATGCAATAAACATGTTTTTAAAGGAATCTACTGGAATCTCAGAGTTCTGCTTTCAATGAGTGCATTACTCGGAACCCTGACACTCTGATTAATAGCGTGGCCTCCTGCCTTGGTTTATCACAGACAGGGGACGGGGACAGGTTTGGTGTCACAAAGAGATCCCTGCCAAAACC